CTGATTAGAAGAATTATAGAGCTATAGTAACAGGCTGGTATGGTACGGGCATAGAATATAGAGCAATGGAACATTAGAGAGTCCAGAAATAAACCCATATGTATATGGTCAATTGCTTTTAAACAAAAGTGTCAAGGTAACTGAACAGGGAAAAGATGATCTTTTGAACAAATAATGTTGCAACAACTGGATACCCATATGCAAAAAATGAATCTTGACCTTTAACTCGAATCATACATTAAAATTAACTCAAAATCTACATACACGTAAAAGCTAAAGTCATAAGACTTCTAGAAGTAAACAATAAAGAATACTTTTAAACCCTTGGCATATGCAAACATTTCTTAAATAAGACACAAAACCTACAAACTATAAAAGAAAAAATTGAAATATGGAACTTTATCAAAACTTAAAACTTCTGCTCTTTAAAAATACCACTAAGAAAATTAAGTGGGAGAAAATATTTGCAATACATATATATGTAACAGGATTTAAAGGAATATATAAAAAAACTCTTAAAACCTATTAATAAGACACACAATCCTTCCACAAAATGGGCAAAAAATTAAACACAAAACCAAACCAAACAAGAAGAGATGTAGAAATGGTCAATAATGCTATGGACTGAATTGTGCACCACCACCCCCGCCCAACATTCAATATGTTGAGAAGCTCTAACCCTCAATGAGACTGTAGGTGAAGATAGGACCTTTAAAGAGGCAATGAGGTAATTAAGGTCATAAGGGTGGGGTCCTAATCCAAACAGGCCTGGTGTCCTTATAAGAGGAGAAACACATCAGGGATGCACACGCACAGAGAAAACGCCATGTGAGGGTATGGAGAGAGGTGTCCATCTGCAAGCCAAGGACAGGCCTCCTTGCTCTGACGTCTTCATTTTGGACTTCCAGCCTCTCACAGACGCTTAAGAAAATTAATTTCTGTTACTTACTACCCAGCCTGTGGTATTTTGTTATGGCAGCCCTAGTAGGCTGATACAATAAATAAGCTTATAAGAAGATGCGAAATATCATTTGATCTCAGGGAAATGAACATTAAACCACAATGGCACACCACTACACACTTACTAGTATGACTTGAAATGAAACAGACTGACAATATCAAGTTTGGCAAGGATGTGGTGCAACTGGAATTTTCACACAATAGTGGTAGCAAAGTAAAATCGTACAAGCACTTTGAAAAACATTTTGGCGATTTCTTACAAAGTTAACACATACTTACCACACAACCCAGCAGTTCAGTTCCTAGCCATTTACCCAAGAGAAATGAAAACATATCTCCACAAAAAGACTTGTACATAAGTTGTCATAGAATTTTATTCATAATACCCCCACACTGGAAACAACATAATTGTCCATCAGCTAGTGAATGGATCAACAATTTGTGGAATTCTGTAGAGTAGAATACTACTCAGCAATAAAAAGGAACAATCTTAATATATGAAATAACAGGGAATTCTTAAAACAAAAGAAGCCCAGCAGAAAACAATACATATGCTATACTTCTATTTATGAGATTCTACAAGAGGCAAATCTAATCTGTAGGGACAGAAAGCAGATCAATGGTTCCCTTGGAGCTGGGGCTAGCTGCAGGTGGGGAGCAGGGGCTAAATGTAAAGCGGTACGAGGGAACAGTGTGCAGGGTGATGGAGACATTCTGTATCTGGATGGTGCCGTTGGTTACACAGGTACATAAGTTTGCCAGACTTTATCCAACTTACAATGGGTGTATTTTATTGTATATAAATTAGAGCTCAAAGAAGTTGACTTCAAAACATCTGACAGGCTCTCCGAAGGATTTAAACTAGAGAAGAGAGAATGGAATGCCTTTAGTTAGCAAAAGGAGAACAGAACAGGTGCTCAGAGAGAAGTGTGGAGAGAGTAGCCAGCCACTAAGTACCTTCAGATTTTCCAGCACTGGAGTTCTTTGTACCACCCAGAGCACAACAATAAATCTTCCCTTTTTAAAGATGATGCCCTAAGAGAAACTTTGTTTCTCGAAACTAAAGGAAACTAACAAAACAACTGGCTACAGTTTCTAAATTAATACTCTGGTTCCTTCAATAGTACCTGGCACATAGTGAAAGTGTTGAATGCAGGAATGGTGCACTGATAACAGCTTTACAATCATGCACTTTGTTGATCCGAATTAAGTTTTTATATTAAAAAAATCAGTTCCATGTTTTGAGAATTAAAAATAATTTTAAAAACAATGAAGGTAAGGCTCTTTTACAAAACATGTGATAACACACTGCCAAAAACAAATCTAAAAAATGAATTAGTATGGCAACACAAATGTAAGAGTACCAGATGAGATAAGCCATTTATTTGAAACAGACTGAACAATTTACAGTCATAGTATAAGAAACTAGCTTTGCTAATGGATACATAAATTCTTTTTGTCTGATTTTTTGATAGAACACAGTGAAAATGACTTAGAGAAAATAGGCCACATATATAGCTACAATGTGAATGAAGCTGGAGGCACAGAGGACCACACACAATGAAATGTAAACAGAGGAGAAAAAAAGCTAGATGCCAGACAGGAAGAGAAGAACCAGGAGAGCAGTCTTTACAAATAGAGGTAAATGTAACTAAGAGTGAAGCGGGAAATCTGATAAGTTTAAAAGAAAAAAAATATTCGTGTAATCAATTATTCCTTAACATGCACAGCAGTTCTGCAGAATAAGCAAACTTAATTTCTCAGGGTTCGTTTCTGAACTATTCTCAACCTTATGGAATCTTGCTTTCAATAATTAGTGACTTATGTCAGGGCAAGCCATTTCCCTCCAAAAGAAATAAATTTTTTCTCAAATAATTGGATTAGACCTACTGCCACTAATTAAAACAGAGAATATATCATCTCTTAGCAGTATCTTACATTCTTAGCCAAACAACAACCATGCTTGATCGGCGTGGCAAATGAGCTTAATGGAGTTCGAAGATAAGAAAGCTTTTAGAGGAGAGAGCATGCTATTCAGCACATGCAAAACTATTTCATTTTACAGTTATAATCTTCAAGAAAGTATCACTCAAAGTTTGGTAATGGTCACAGAGACTTACTTTGATTTTGGCATGTATTCACAAAGAATATTATGGGATGATGTAAACTTAAAAATAATAATAATTTACTTCTGAAGTAAAGAACAAATATATTTATGGTTGTATCACACATATGTCTAGTCAATTTCCTTTTTACAATACCTGGATGAAGAAAGCTATGTTGTCTTCAATTAACTGAAATGATTTACTACGTACTTTTATTAATTCCATTGGGTGTTAGATATAACAATACTTAGCAATAAAAATTTAGAATTAAAAAGTAAAACTTTGCCTTACAAGTTAACATTTGACTAAATTCATCAAATTGGATTATAATAAAAGCAGTATCATTTTAAATATATAAAAATCAAAATAGATAAAGTGTTAGTGTTTTAAAAATTTTTAATTTGTGATTCAATACAAGAATGTATTAAAATTGAAAGATAATACCATTCATTCATTCATTCATTCCAAAAACAAATGCTTACTATATTATAAAGCATTATGCTAGATGTTGTAATGTATTAAAAAGTAACATAAAAGATAATTCCTATATTTAATAGTCTTAAAATTACAATGGAAATAAAGATATACGCATAATACAAAATAGCAACAAAATATATACATCATACAAGGCAGTATATGACCAAGTGATAAAACGGAACAAGGATTCAGAGAAGGAAAGAGTTTCTAGCATGTGATTAGAGAATGCTTCATGTAGGAAATGCTTTGAGTTGGATAATAAAGAGAAAGGTAGGATGGAGGATATGATGAGATTCCATGCTGATGAAATATCACATAAATAAATATAGATACGGAAGTGAGAAACAGAAGAAAAATGTTCTTAAAATGTCTCATGAACACATATCCCCAGGGGCTGTAGAACACAGTCCAAAGCTCAAGAGTTCTTTGAAATCTATTGTGTATCTTAAAAGTAATATGAAACTTACGTTCTACTCCATTAAATATCTGTGCTTGCTTTAACATAAAGATAACATTTTTCCTCTCAAAATTTTCCAGTGATCTAATACTCCAAGAAGATGGGCCATGATTATCCTGTGTGTACGCTCCCAAGAATGCCAGCCACGAAGAAGCAACGGCACAGAATGAAGGAACCACAGTGGAAGACACGGCTCAGACAGCAAAGAGAAGGAGGCCTTTACCCAGCGAGGCTGGAACTGTTAAAAGGTTACTCAGAAGACAGTGAGGAATCATGAAAAACACATTCTGAATTGGGGAATGACATTCGACTGTTTTAACAAATTTAGTCTGGCTTGAACACAGAGGATGAATTCATTCATTCGACCAATATTTTGGAGCATCTATTATGTGCCAGGTACAGATCTAGCTGCTAGAAAACTGAACAAAAGAGGCAAAATCCCTGCCCTTATGGAATTTACAGTACGAAAAAATAAACAAACAAACAAACAAAAGTTGAAAGATGTAATGAGACCAGATAGGAAGAGATTACAAACAGGAGAACGGACATTGTAAAGGAAAGGAGGGGATGAAGAATTCTGAGTATGCATGGGTGACTGAGATGACAGTAGTGCTAATAACACAAATCAAGGAGTTAGAAGAATGGTTCTATCAAAGGACAACAGGCAAAAATGGGCTGTTTTAGATTTGCAGGCTCAGAGGTGCCTGCTGACTTTACTGATGAAAATCCAAGATTCCAGGAGGTCAGGTCTAGAGATAGACGTCATGATTAACCTGTAACCACATATAAGTGGAAACCGCATGGGGAAAAAGGGGAGGAGCAGAGAGCGAAGGGCAGAAGTAAGAGACTTCATAAATGTCCCTGAGGGTAGGGGGAACGATCAGGCCAGAGAAGAAAGAATCTAAGAGAAAGTAAGAAAAACCTAGGTAATGAGGAATAATGAGAAGAACACTTCACAAAAGATGTGTCAGTCAATGTGTGCGTGTGCGTTTTTTTCTTACCTGTTCATTCTTTTTCTGAACCCATTCTTTGAGCTTTTCTTCAGCAACTATCTTTCTTTTCTCACGTTCTTCCATTTCTTTTCTTTTTTCTAGCTGCTGATTTAATTCCTGTGAATTTTTTTCCAACAAAAGCTAGCATTTAGTAGGAGTACTCAAATCACATTATTTGAAAAAAGGCTGAGGTTAACCAAATTAAACATGAATATAGTTTCCTTTATAGAAAATATACCATTAGTGACAATAACTTACTTAAGTAACTAGTCTATGATGAAAAGAAAGCATTGGTAAAAAGTATGTCATTTTTTAGAAATGCAAATAATTGCTTGGCAGCAAAACACTAGTTTCTTAGACTAAACTTCAGCTAAATTACCCTCATTGAAATCAACTTTCGCACACATAAATTTTGGCATCACTGTACGCTACTGGCAGAAGCTCAAGGGAATTGCAACTTTTTTTTACAGTTATAAAAAGCCTCTAGATTCTTGAGGAAGATAAAGGATAGGAATTAAATAATCCCCAAATTTAAAAATTTAATTCAGAGTCATACCAAAAAAGAAATGTGCAGAAGCCATTCAATTTCCTGTAGAGAAAAAAAGAATCTAGATTTTTCTTCACTGATTTTATAGCTGCTGGAGTATAAAACAAAACCACATTCATATCCCAGATTATTTAACTGCCTTGCTGTCACTCGAATCTACACGTTTGGGCATTTCCTTAGGAGAAAGAATGTGGAAGGTATGGCCAAATAAAACTACAAGCTGAATGCCACCACTCTGTCACTCATCAGTTAAATTACGGCATTAGTTGAGAATGCTGTTCAAACTAGACTCTTAGGACTCCACTACCATAATTACTGGTTATTTTTCTTCTCTTTCCTTGGGTACTAATAATCAGATACGTTTACATATCTTCCATTGGACCTCACTCCTTCTCACCACCCCTCCCTCCCCCAAAGACCTACCTACCTGAGTATGAATGGTAGTGGGAAGGACCATTTTGCAACTCTCAGACAATTCCAGTGTGTTAAATGAAATGAAGATAAAACTTGACACCGAGAACCTTATCTTCTGCACTTTAGAACAAATGGTCGCAAGATACCTGTCTTCCATGACCTCTCATCCTAAAATTTTGCTGTATGGAAAATAACTGCCCTCACTCATTCAGTAGGTCTTCCAACTTTTAAACGCTATCCTTCTCCCAAGCCCCCAAAGCAAAAACAGCCATCTTGGTTTTAAAAAGATTTTTCTTTACCTCTGCAGCTGCTATTCCTTGATTATTCACTTAATACTTTTCATTTTTTATGGAGCGCCTACTATCAAGATAGCATGAACAGAGAGATACAGGGATGTAATTCCAGAAGTCTCTGACCTAATCTCCTTCTACATACACAAAAGAATTAAGTGCTACTTTGTGAGGTATTGTGTACAACAGGATTTCAGAAGAGGGACGCGAAGGCGAGAAGATGAGAGGAGCAACAGTGTGGACCAGGGTAGTCAGAAATGCGCGCCCCAGGAGGAACAGTAAGGAACGGGCTTGACTAGCAGGGAGACATGGGCATGGTGGGGTGGTGGGTGGTAACTAGGTAGAAAAAGCTCTTTCAAAACAGGCAGAGTAAATTGAACACTATGAAGCAGGAATACATGGCAAAGCGATGATTTAGAGCTCGTAATGATAAAGGTTAAGGGCTGCATTAAAGGGATCAGAACTATTCTGAGGGAGACTGATTAGGAGGTTGCCCCAGTATATGAGTTATAAAGGGAAGAAGTCTGGACTTGTGTCAGGAAAGAAAAAGGGGGAATACACGCATGTATGTATGCATGCGAGTGTGAGTGTGCGTGTGTGTGTGGGGGGGCTAGATACAGATCTGACAACCATATACCTGAAATTTTCCTAAATAGTCCTAAATTTTATTTTTAAGAAATCATTTAAATATACAACTAAAGATATGACTGATTATATTTATGTACACTTTTAAGAGCCTTCATATAATCAAACTCAAAAATCAGGAAAACAAAATCAGACTTTGTGTTCCTATTTTATGGCTCATGAATTTTAGTCAATGTTGACATAAGAGTTAAAGATAAAGGAAGGGTCAAAAGTACCTAGAAAATACTACCACTGACCCGGACAGTGCTCTCATCTCAGAATGTCTGTTCAAGTAATTTGCCACCCCAGAGCATATATCACATCCTGAGACATAATCCTCCCTCCCAAGGCTGGCCCTCTCAGAATGTCCCACCCTGAACGCCTCCATATGTTCACCACCAAGGCAAACCTCTTCCAGACACAGCTGGGGGTCTTCTCTCACAAGGCCTATGTCGTCTTCTGGTACATCACTGAATTTCAACAGGATGATAGCTATTTTCCACAGAGTAAACACTCGATTATGGAAAACCAAACTCCAAAGAAGATCCTAAACAGCATTTTTATTTCAATAGCTTTTGTTGATTTTCAAAGAATTTTATACCATCGAAGGTTAACAATCAGAAAAACTGACAGTTTTGAGTTTCACCAACTCCATAGCCTACCCTATTCCTTCATTCAGGGCAGACGAATGAAATGGCCAAAGGCAAGATGGTGAAAAAATAAAATAAAATAAAGGCACCTAGATTATTCACAAACTAGATACAATTTACAATTTAGAACAGATTGTATTAAAATGTTAAAAATTAGAATAAGCCAAAGGCCATAAAGAATTTAGAATAGTTTGCTAAAGAATTTTTTTATATAATAAAAAACAAAATAAAATTTATACGACCTACAAAACCAATATGCTAGTTTTTCATAATACTAACATTCAACATTTATCATATTTATCATCTTAACAGTTACAAATGTAAAAAAACATTGTCAGCAGGTAATTTTGATGGGTTAAAATAATTTAACTCAATCTTACAGAGATGGCTGAAACAAATCTAAATGTCTGTTAATAAAATCAAATTTATGAGAAGGAATAATCTTTTTAATGACCCAACTATCCTTTAAATCTTCCATTAAATTTTCAAGGAAGAAAATAAGAAAGCCAGGTTAAATTCAAAAATTAAATACTAGGTCTGAACCATTTGGTTCTAAAATACATCTTGGTACTGTGGAAAAAACACTTATTAAACTGAAAGTTGAAAGAACTATTGGGTTGTTGGAAAAGTCATGACACATTTTTGCAATAGATGGCGCTACTTCATTTTTGGAAGTACTAGAGTCATTCGCGTCTGTTATTGCTAAGTCATTTGACAGCTGACAGTTCTAGCTTCATTCTAAAAAACAAAACTGAGCGATTTGGTTGAGTTTTGGAGATTTTATAACAAGTTGAAGATGGAAGACAAAACTGTGCTTTTTCGCCATATTTTACTATTTTACTTGCACAAAGAGAAGAACTTGTGAAAAGTTGCATAAAGTTTACGGTAACAGTGCTCTACAAGAATGTCAGTGCCAACAATAGTTCACGAAATTCCGTGGGTGATTTTTATCTCAATGATGCACCTCGGTCAGGGAGGCCCACCAAGGTTGATGACGACAAAATGAAGGCATTGGTCAAGTCAAACCCACATTACACAACACGACAGATTGTAGAAACACTGAAAATCCATCATTCAAGCATTCACAACCACCTGAAGAAGCTGGGATATGTAAGCAAGCTCAATATTTGGGTTCCTCATGAACTCAAAGAAGTTCATTTGACAGCGCATATAAACATCTGCAATATGCTCATTAAACGTGAGGAAAACGATCCTTTTTTGAAGCGACTGATAACTTGTGATGAGAAGTGGATTGTTTACAACAATGTGGTACACAAACGGTCTTGGTTCCAATGTCATGATTCGCCTCAAACAACATCGAAAGCAGACATTCATCAGAGGAAGGATATGCTCTCAATGTGGTGGGATTTTAAAGGTGTCTTGTGTTTTTCGAGCTCCTACCAAGGAACCAAACAATCAATTCGAATGTGTACTGTCGGCAATTGGACAGTTTGAAACATGCAGAGCTTGTTAATCATAAAGGAGTTGTGTTCCATCGCAACAATGTGAGACCACACACAAGTCTGATCACCTGTCAAAAACTATTGAAGCTTGGATGGAATGTGTTGCCACACCCACCATACTCGCCTGACCTTGCGCCGTCAGACTTCCACTTGTTTCACTCTCTTCAAAACTCCTTGCGTGGTAGGTATAACGTTCAATTAGGATGAGGCTGTAAATCAGCACCTTGTTCAGTTTTTTGCCATTAAAGACAGGTTGTTCTATGAACAAGGAATTATGAAGCTCACTGAAAGATGGCAAAAGGTTATCGAACAAAACGGGCAATTTTTTTTTTTTTTTTAGCTTAGCCAGCAGCTGTTAGCAGTTCAGCCCGGGCCGGGAACTGAACCAGCGACCCTGTTGCTCAGAGCGCATACTCTTGAGCAAGGATCTTTGTTCTTTATATAAATAAATAACCTTTGAAAAACATAGAAAAAATATGTCATGACTTTCCCGACAACCCTATAGAATCCATCCCAGCTTAGTTACTAACTGAAACCTAGTTACTTTCCGACCCTTCTGTTTAATAGGGATCTGAGATGAATTATTCCTTATTGTTAAAAATCTGTGCTTTTAATGATATGATTAGTAAACAAATTAGAGAATGCAATAAATAAGGACAGAAAAATAAAGGAAGTATGACTTAGAAAAGAATGTGAATACCACAATAGCTCAAACTAAGCTTTTATAAATAAAGTGAGTAGTGGCCTATATGTTATGATATCCATGGCATGACTGAAACAATAAGATTCATCCTGAAGTATTTTAATTGCTTTAGAGTTAAGTAATGACCTAGCCATAAGAAATGCCATGCTCCTAAATACACCAAAAGGTTTTAATCTTTCAACCAATTATATTCTGCTATATGGTCAATCATTGCGATAGGGACTTTATATTCATTATTTTAGTCTGTTCTCAAAATAAACCTTCAGTAGTTTATTGTTATCTCCTTGAACACATAACTTTTATTCAGTGCTTCCTATATACTAGGCCACTTACTGATGCTCACTAGTCCTCATAATATAGTTTCCCTTTCAATGATAAAGAAATTGAGGTAGAAAGGTTAAGGATTTGCCCAAGGTCCAAGTTTGTTGTTGCTTTTTTCTTTTTTTTTTGGTCCAAGTTTTGAATCCAGGAAATACAGCTCAAGAACTGATGCTTTTAACCACTCTTACGATGCTTCTGTAACATCTGGCTTACAGATAAAGAGAATGAGGCTCAGAGAAGTTAGGTAACTTTTTCAAAGTCACAGAGTTAAAAGAACAAGGCTAAAATTTCAGTCTTCTTCTGTGTGACTCCAAAGCCCAGGCTCCCTTATGAATTTAATTAACTTCTTTTATTGTGTGCTGACTCTAAAAATGACCTGAAGTGACCCTCCATTTCCTAATGTAACAAGTCCTTCTAGTGAGACTAGAGATAAAATTAAGTACCGTCAACTGAACTCCACTTTACCACTGACTCAATGGACTAGATCAGTGTCTTCCAAACTGTGAGTCTAAAGCCAATTTAATGGGTTATGACCAGGCTTAAAAAAATAACAATAAAATACCAGGTTTTGCAAAAATTAAGATGTTATTTCAAATATGTATGTACATGTGTGTGTGTGTATGTATGTATGTATCTGTGTGTGACATGAAGCAAAGACGATTTCTCACTGTGAATAAATATTATGAAAGCTACTGCACTAAGTAATGCAATTAGTAATGTTAAAACTTAAGGGTGAGGTAAGAGAAGTAAGAGTCTGGGGTCTCAATAATAAACATTAATTCTGAAAATAAATGAAAAAGCTTTAGTGACGCTATGAAGAGCATGATATCAATAACCATAAAACAACACCAGTCATCTTTATATCTTGTCTCATTTAATCCTCACAAAAATCCTGTGGCACAGATATTACTTTACATTTATTGTACAGATGATTAAATTGAAAGGAGCATAAAAGTTTACATAAGCCTGCATGACATCAAACCATAAGGTCTTTCTTAGGACCTGTGCCCTTCTAAGAGGAAACAAATACCACTGTGCACTTTGCCAGGAATAAATTTGTATTTGAGAAAAAAAAGTGTCATGCAGTAGGGAAACAGCAGGATGTACTGGTTTCTACAATCATTTGAGTCATGCTTAGCCTCCTGAATATGTGACTGCTTACCTGGTTAGAAACCCATCACAGAAATACCAACTACTTTCAAAGCTGATATGGAAAATTTATTCCAAGGAAGATCATGGATGGCAAAGCTATAGTTTCAAGAATTTTTACGAAAATATGGTTGCCAATAGATTAGAATAAACTTAAATATCCAACAGTGAACCCGTTAACTATATTCTAATATATATTGGATACATTTAAAATATATTTTAATATTCTTAGCTAGCCATAAAAATGATGCTGTAAAATACACTGATATGGATTTAATGATATGCAAATATACTGGGGGTGCCAAAAAAAATGTATACAAGTGGACACTTTGGTCAAAATTGCTCAAGCAGTAGTTCGCTGTAATCAGAAGTGTCTGGACGCTGATGGTAACCACTTTGAGCACCTCTTGTAATTGCAGAAGTCAAACATGATGTGTATTCATCTTTCATTATCAGTATATATTGAGTATTACAATTTCAATAGTTTTTTCCTTAAAATGTGTAAACATTTTTTTGGCATCCTCTCTATTTTTAATAAAAATCTTTAAAAAACAAAAACAAAAAAACCTCTAAAAATTTTTTTTAAAATAAAAACAAGAAGTCTCCCCTCAGCACTCAAATCTATTTTCTGTGTTTGGAAAGAGAGAATTTAGAGAGTGAGTGTGGATACTGGGGATGCCAAATTATCCAAATCTATTTTGGCTGCTAGGTTCTAAAAAGCAAACAGTAAGAGTTCAAAGAATGAGGGATTTGTGCAAAAGATATCTCAAACTATTTTCTGAGTTTGGAGAGTGAGAATTCAGAGAGAAAATCACAAACGCAGAAATGTCCACAAACAAGGCAGGAAAGCAGAGAAACTGAAAAACACAGATAGCCATCTCCAGCACAAAATCACTCTAGGGCACATGTGCTGAGTTATGGGGGTAGATTCCTATCTCTATTTCAATTTTTGTTTTTCTCCTTTCTTAAAAATTTTACCAAGTATACACAGTTGAATTTACTTTAGTTAAATGTACATAACGGTGAAGCTCCATTGTATGTGCCAGTCCATATACACTTGCACATACATATTTTTTTTTAATTTATAGAGAAGAAAATGTGGAAGGCTATACACTTTGAAGATTAGAGAAAATTTTAATTTTCTTAATTATGCTTAACTCTATTTTCGAAATGTTCTTATGAGGACCATGTATTATTTCTACAATGAGTTGTTGAAATCGATAGAGCAAACTGACACAAACAAATGCAAAAACTTTGTTTTAAGGGAAAATAACATTAACGTTTTAATTTCGACAGCAGCTCTGCTCTGTGAGCTCATGGAGTACATAAAAAGAACACTGTCTAGTTTTACCTCTACAGCTTTCTGCTGCAGACGGTCACGTTCTTCTTTTTCTTTGCCAACAAACCACACTTCCCATGGTGTCAGGCTGCTTTCGGGTAAACGCACCTGTTTCTGTTCTTCTTGGTTATCTTTGGATTCAACCACACTATCACAAAAGAGAGGATACGAAAGCACTTGTACTCGAAACTCTTTGGCTTAACAATCAAAATCACTTAGCTATACAGTGAAAGCAGGATTTAATAACATTTAGAATCCTGTGATTTTTACAAGTACACATATATATATATATATGAATGAGTTATACATAAACAAACATTTGAAAATCATAAAAAGAAACTTCAGTATTTGAATGTTTATCCACCAAACTGCCTTTGAATTCCTTCATCTTCTAAAATCACATTATTTTACAACCTACTGGGATAACCCACACCAGGTCTATTTGCCTCAATGACAACAATTTTTTATTCTTAAAAATCTTACATCTGGATAACTAATTACAACATATGATCCTAATCAGAGAAGGCTTTTCCCTTTTCCTCACTTAAATATTTCAGGGGGGAAAAAAAAAGAGTATGTGCATTTACAGAGAATGATAAAGCAAATGTGTTAATAACCATTAGGGATTCTGGGTGAAGGGTAAACAGAAGTTCTTTATACTCTCAACTTTTCTATAAATTTGAAATTGTTTTGAAATAAAAAATTACAAAAAATAATATGGCCTTTGTATTCTTTTTTACACTTTAGTTGACTCCCTTTTGCCAATTCTTAGGATATGTGTAACTCTCCAGTTTGGTTACCTCCTGCCATGGTCACCATTTCCACCATCCACCTCTCTCAGTCTATCTCTTCTGGGTACAGGGAAAAGTTACTCACACTTAAAAGAACAGAGGAGAGGAAATACTCTAAGTAAATAAATAAAGAACACAGGGATTTAGCCATACACAAGCCTCTTAAAAACAGGAAAAGCTAAACAATCAGCACCCATGGAAAGAAAGGCTGCTCAGGACCCAAGGCAGCTCTAGAGACTAGGTTATTATACACTCAATTCCTCTTCATCCCATTCAGGCAACCAACGGCCTAACCCACTGCAATGCACAGCTTCTTCAACTTCACAGCATCTGCTTGTTTTTTCCTGCTGCTATTTCTCAATTCATCCATGGCCTGATGGAATTTTTATTCTAGTGGGCAAGAAACACTGTTGATGCGTTGTTTATTGCGTGCGTGCGTGCGTGCGTGCGTGTGTGCGTGTGCGTGTGTGTGTGTGTGTGTGTGTGTGTGTGTGTGTGTGTAGTCCCTTCTTGGTCTTGCATAACCATCTCATCTGTTCCCATAGTTTCAACTACTGCAACGTGCTGATCATGTGCAGATCAGCCATTCCAGGCCAGATCTTTCTCCTAAGCTCCAGGTTTTATTTCCAACCATTTGATAGACAGTGCCACTTAAATACCAAACTCAATCAGTCCAAACAAGTCTAATTGTCTTCCACCATCCACCCATTACCCTCCCCACCAGAAAAATGTTACTCCTCCTCTTATAATCCTACCTCAGTGAAGGGTACCTCCACCTACCCAGGTAGCCAAGCCCGGAACCCAAACCTTTGACTCCTCCTGCCCCGGTCCACATCTGATCTCCCCCTCCCGCCCACCCCCATATTATCACCTAGTTATGTCTCTTCCACTTCTTTCCATTTTCTCAAGCCATTCTCCTCTCCTACTACCATCGTGCAACCACTGTCTGGTCATAACTGGCCTTTCCCCCTCCATTTCAAATCCTTATTCACTCTGTTACCAGGTTCATCCTTCAAATGCATCCTTCTGTCATGTCACCACGCATCTCAAAGTTCCTCAGTGGCTCCTCTGCCCACAAGATGAAATCCAGGCTCCACAGCCTGCCCTCCATGCGTTGGCCCCTGCCTGTCTTCCAGCCTCTCCTTTCACCAATGGCTGACCCAGACTCTACATTTCAGTCTTGTGAAACTTAGGCTGACTGCTGATGTGTGCCATGCCCCCGTGCTCAGCAGCACTGCCTAAGAGTCTGAAATTCCTTTCCTCCACCTCCACACATGGCCCAAGGAAGAGCTTAGATGTGCGACTAAAACATTTGGGGTGAATCTCTACCTGCTTCTTGCGAGTGTACATTTTTTCACCTCTTTAAGCTCCCCTTTCTCATGTGTAAAATGGAGATAACAGTAGTGGCGAGCTCAGTTACTCCTGGAAGAGACAGTCCATGCGAACGCACTGAGTACAGTTCCGGGCACTCGGTAAACATCTGGTACATGTCATGTAGTAGTGGGAATACGACTACAGCTAATTTTTCATGCTCTCCCTTCAAGATTCAACTCAGCCATTATCTTTAATGCCTCACAGTGAAAGCCTCTGCAAAAAATCTGGACGAAGCACCTTGGGCTTTCTGTCCCTTGTCCATGTCTGCCACAGGCCATGAATTCCTCACAGACAAAAACATGTCTTAACTCACTCTTTATTTCCAGAGTCTAGCTTATGGCCTAGAATATAATGGGCTCCTAATAAATGTTTGATGAAAGAAGAAATGAGTGAAATTAGTGTCTCTTAAGAAATGACACTTTAAATATTGAATTTCTTGCCTTAATGTTTAACAAATTATGTCAAAATTTTGAGCGTATATACTATAGCTCTATCCATAATCAAGAGAGGTTTGATAAGCAGCTATTTATGACCAAGACATTTAAACTCATGTCTTAACATGAGTTTCCTAATGGACAGAATGATAAAAAACACAACAACAAAACAGGATGGATAATGCTGACTAAACAGCAGGCCCACAGCATATTATAAAAGCCTCCCAGGAAAATACTTTTCATTATCTTGTCTGAAGTCAACTGTGAACTTCACCTCAGGCCACTTGAAGGTTGATGTATCCTTGAAGCATGGCTCTATTTACACCTACTATACCTTCAGCTCATATCCACCAGGTACAGCTGATGCCTGAGTCGAGGTCAAAAAAGCTCATCCTGTAAGTATTGCCACAGTCAGGTCACCGTGGCAGGTGAAGAGTGGAAACAAGGCATAATCCCAGGCAGCTCTCGGTTTGCTCCCTGGTCCAGAGAAGATGCTCATTACCCAGAACTAAGGCTGGACTAAGATGACTCAGGCTGTCTGCTCTCCTCATCCCATCAGCCCCAACTGTCCAGGGTACCAACTTAAGGTTAGAAGTAGGGAGAAGTGAGGAGATTTTCTCAACATGTATCTTTCCTAAAAAGAAGTGCTAGGTTTTCTTAGGTAGTTGAAAACAATCACTGCATCTATCTTGTTCTCTAGGATGTGGGAAACAGGCATTCATGCAGCACACGTTCACTGAGCACCGAATACGCATCTCACACTTGCCACACACAAGGCCTGACAGCTCCTGCACTCTTTCCAGACCACATCCTACCTATTCCTTTGATTCACAGAAAATGAACTGGGATAAGGAAGGCAGCTTTGGCCCCGGGAGGCCACCAGCTCCTTCGGGCTTTGGCTAAGGGGAGACATACGTCTTTCCGGCTTCCTCTCCTGCTAAGCTCCATCTGGTCGGTGTTTTCGTTATTGGAAGCTAATGCAAGGGCTCGGTAGCTGAGACAGTTTTGAAAGCCACCATTCCTGAGGCTGCTAAACTGTGTCTCCATTGTCTTGTTGATTAGACTCAGAAGGTATTTTCCAAAGCCTTAACATTTATTTTAAGAATCTATGGGGCCAACTCAGTCCTGAAGAATTCCTACAAAGGCCCACATGAAAATGGACTCCTGGAAGTCTGATTTTTACCATCAGTTCTATTATCAGGTTGATCAAGAGCCTGTTTCTTGTTGCTACAACCGGTCTGGACAAGTGGCTTGCTTGATTGCTCTCCCTGATCTCCAGTCCTATCAGTGTACTTACTTTTACTTCTCACTCCTAAGAGACTCACTGTTGTGACTGCAAGAGTCACTTCATATGGTTCCATATTCCATTCACTCACTGGTAATGAAGGCCTTATACGAAAGGGGCTATCCTGACGCTTACACATAAAGCATGGGTGCTCTGGTCTGCATTTCTTAGACGTCTTGTACCATATAGGCCTTACACAGATTGACAACCAGAAACTTGTCAACGCTTTCTGAAGACAATGTAATGAGCCTACCCCAAAATGGACCTGTATTACTATGTCTGTCTTAGAAAAATATATTCCTGCAGGCATAGGCCCTTTGCTGCTATTTCTATATACCCAATAACAGGCATCTAGTACAGGGAAGAGAGAACATGATCAGTATAGGTTAGTACTAGGCCCAGCTCTGCTAATAACCAGGCATATGCCTTTGAATCAGACTTACTTGTAGTCTAAGCCAGTTTTATTATCTGTAATATGAGTGACTTGATCTAGCCTTTAAACCCCTGAGTACAGACCATGTCTCTCTTGTTTATGGTCCCCAATAAGTAGACCAGTATGTGACACAAATTAAAGGTTTGCCGAATGAATAATTGTAGAAATAAATTACAATGGTTTTAATAATCTCTTTGGTCCTAACGTTCTTTGATTCAATGACTTCTATTCCACTCCTAAGTGCTCAGATCAGACCCAAAGCTGTCTCTGGATGCTGAGGTTGACATTGCTAACCTCTGTGCTTCAGCTCCTTATTGATGACATAAAAAGTATACTGCGTACTACAACCTACTTCACTGGCAATCAGATTTTTCAAGTTATCGACAGGTACTACTGACGTGCGGTAAACCACATTTTGGTGTTAAGTTTAGACAAGAGTTCTGATGTCCACCATCAGGCTTTTGAGTATTTATAAAACTCCTGAAATTGTAGCAAAATTTTGTGTTTGGGACTATGTGCGTTTTTCCAGGGGGATGGTAGCAATCATCATATTCTCAATTTGAAAAAGGATTTAAGAACCATAGAAAATGTGAGGTCACTTGTAAGAACTGGGCCAGGACTCTTTATGTGCAAAAAGGAGCAACACCTGAGGATACAGGTGCTTGCACAGCCTGTGAGGCAGAAGACAGGCAGGTGTTTGGCTGGCAGAAGAAGGTATGTAGAAAGGTCTAAGGAATCTTGGGCTGTATGGGCCGGGCGGCCTCGGGTTTACCTGGCGCACCCCTGTACCTCCATTCCTCTCAGGCTCGCCCCCTTGGCCTCTGAGTCACGGGCATCTTCGTCCACGTCTTCCTCAACTTCCCCGTCACCATCGTCATCGTCAAACGGGAAGCTTTGGTGGCGGAGAGGAGACAACAGCGACAGGGTGGAATTGCTGCAGCTCAGCGGCGGAGATGGCGAGCACCCGGCCACGGTCTCCAGCCCGTGCCCTCGGGCGTCCGCCATGGGGGCGGAGAAGGAGCCCGACGAGGGCCGAGACCTGGCCCTGCAGTCGGGCAGGACCCGGGTGTCGGAAGTGGGGGAAGAGGCCCTCCACCGCCCCGCCGCCCACATCTGGCCCGCCAAGTTCAAACCGGCTAAGGGGCGGCGGGGACGTGCTCTCCCAGCAGGCGTCGCGAGCGCCGAGCCTGGCCAATCCGGGCCGGCACAGACCCCGCGTTGCCATGGCGACGCGTGGAGTCAGCGCGGGCTTTGTTCCGGGCTGGTGAGAGTGGCTTGTTACGCGCGGGCCTCTGCAGGCTGGCCCTTCCTCCACCCGGCTGAGTTGCTGGGTTAACCTGCGCCTCTGCTCACGGGCGAGGTCCCGTTCCTTGTTGACAACTTTGAGGGGCTGTCCTTTGTTTGCTGTGGTGTTGCAATTCATTTGGTACCTGAAATACGCTGTCACTGAATATAGCAGGTACTTTTAAAGGGAAAGAGGCACAAGTCAAAACGACCCTCATGTCATTACAAGGTCAGGATGATAAGCATCAGTCGTGGTTTCTTTCAGCATACAGCCATATTTTATAAGTGGAGGGGGAGGTGTACTTTACCCAAGTTTATGAGTGTGTCCAAAATTTCACTTTTAAGGTAATTTTTCAGTTTTGGGTTCGTACCTTGTTTGCCTGGTGTCTCAAGGGAACTAGTTGTCCATACATTTGAATTTTGGGGCCTCTGAACCCTCCAGTGTGCTAGGACCTGTGCTAGGCAATGGATACAGATGAATAAGATAAAAACCTGTACTTACAAGTTCCTCATTCTTCTGTGATGAAAAATTATATAATTAAAATATTGTGATATGCATTTTATGAGAAAAGAAAAAAATGCGGGATGTCAGAAAGAGCATTCTCAGGGATTGGGGATGAGGATGAGGGTACCAAGGGAAAGGTGATAGACAATAAAGCTGGATGCTTTATTCATACAGACAAAACTGTATACACTTGAAATTAGTATGGCTTTTGTCCAGCTCATAATGCATATTGCCAGTAGAAATATCACAAAGTGAAAACTGCCGATGGCCAAAACAGCACACAAACTTTGTTATTGACTAAAGAGTGATACAAATCTTTGATGAAAATTAGAGCTGCAAAATTCAACAGGCGAATTAAATATGGTAAAAATAATAGCAACCAAGAGCAATTCAGAAAGCAGAAGCTATACTTAATAAAATGACATGGTTAACCTATTTAAATGGAATGCTAATTTTTGACAAATTTTCAGTAAAAACAAAATGAAAATGGAAGAAAATAGCAATTTAAGTAATAAAATTGATCCAGGAATAAAACTGGCTTAATGGCATTTTCATTTTCTACCCCAGTTATTCAAGATCAGCATATCTGGTTAAAACCTTTTATGAGAACATCTCTACGATCAATGAAAAACAGTATTGAAAGGCCTTGGTCACTTGAAAGCTTCAGAAATTGGTACATTTGAGAGGCTATTCCCAACAGACATACCTGACAGAACTAAAGCATAGTAGGAAAAATCCACAAATTTTAGTATGAAAGAGACCTGGGTTTGAATCAGTGGTTTCCTCTTACTAGGTTCCTTAAACAAACAAGTTGTTTGGCCTTTCCAAGTCCTAACATGGCCCTCTGTAAGATAGGGAAATAACCTATCTCTCAGTCAAATGAGCTCATTAATCCTCAAAGCTTCTAGCATAGGATCTAACAGAGAAAATGACTGATGATAAATTATGTCGCTTAAACTCCAAGTTTTCCACTTTAACCTCTTGGTATGGGAACCTAAAATATCATATACTTCTCTGCCTCCTATGTTTTACTAAACAAATTATGCCCTTTCCTTGATGCCTCAGAATCATCATAATGACCAACTATAGCATTATGCTGTTGCAACACTGGAGCTATAGAGGCAGAGCCCATGGCACTGGTGCTGGTACTTGAACATTAAATAGAGTCCTGTGGTCGCCTCTCTTCCAGTGCCTTTTCATTATTGGAACTGAGAAGCCATAATCAAGTTTGGTAGAAGTATATATAAATGTATAAATAAGCTCAAAAGAGAGACTCTCCCCTTAAGTTTTAAGGTATTGACTTAGTAACTGCACTTTTTACTACTCGTTTTTCACTTTCATGGCATATTTGAAATATATATATATATATATAAATATATATAATATATATATAAATATATATAATATATATATATAGTTTTTTTTTGTTTGTTTTGCTGGCTTTGTAACCATGTGTAAGTGCAGAGTGACTTTTGCTTTAAAATCTGTTATAAAAATGTCATTACCAGTTAGCCCTGTGGCAATATATTATGCAATGTAAATTTATCCCTGGACATACAGAAACATTTACAAATGAAGCAATATGTCTTAGATTTGTTTCAAAATAATCTAAGGGACAGAGGGATTGGAAGGGTTCGTGAGTGGGATGAAAACAAGATTTACCATGTGTTGTTGATAACTGCTAAAGTTGGGTGGATGATGGGTACAGGGGTGAGGTGTAAAGACTGAGGGAGTCGGAGGAGGGGTGATTATACTATTCTACTTTGTTATGGGAATTCCAAACCTATACTCAAGTTTAAAACAAATGAACAAAAACAAACAAAAAAAAAACTCTGAAATTCAGAGCAGCTGAGTACTGTTTTGGGTTCTGATTTGCTATGTAACTCAGGTGTTTACCTAAGTTTCATTAAGCCCTCTATTTTCTCATCTGTAAAACGAGAGCTTGATGTGATTTCTAAGACTTTGGACAATTGACTAAATTTAGTATCATGCAGGTTTGTTAATAATTTGCTTTTAAATAAAGATTTAGTTGATGATATTCTCTAAAATTTCACAATTTGTTTTCCGTAAGTATGGTAAAATCTTCTAAATTTCAACAAAGTGTTCTTCCAACATTTCTTCTAATGCTCTTCACTTAAAAAATATTTCACTTTAATTTACTTTAACACTAAATAAATTCATTATTATACAGTTATATATTAAGGCAGAACAGATTGCTTTCTAGAAACTTTAATAATTCAAAACACTGTATACAATATTTTGTTTCCAGCCATATGTATAGCTCAGTTTATATAACTGCTATTCAATTTTTAAATGAATGCAAAGTGTTCAGTAACATGAATTTTGAAGAAAAAAACTTTTAGCTAGTATATTTACCAAGTTATGATTTAATATTCATCAATGTGTAAATATACAAACATGATAGCAATTTTAAAAACTTGTGAATAGTTGGCCTTACAAAATTACAACACACTGTAAATAAATCCCTCCCACATTTTATACAAACTACATGATTTTGATATACAAAGATTCTGTTTTTATTATACTGACAATGTACAACCAAGACTATTTACAATGCAAAAAAGTATATAAACCACAATTTAACATTCTGCTACTGGCAGCCACTATAGTTTAGGAGGTAGCTTTAATTAAACAAAATGAACAGAAGCCACATTTCCCAACTTGTGTTCTAAAAATAATTTACATAAGATAAAAATTCATTATATGCACAGTATATACAGTTTAATTATTAAACTGCAATCTAGCTTCATGTTTTTAGTATATCCTGAATAACTAATATGGCAGTGGGTTTGCTATTGATTTAGCATATTGTTCAAAAAACATACTGAACATTTATAACTTTAAGACTCCACATAGCAACATGTCAAAAGTCCATAGATGAGAATCAAGTAAAGGCTAAAAACTTTAAAGACATTGGTCTAAGCTTTATTCCTTTTCTCCTTCTTTTTTCTTAATGATACATTTTGTCTTGTCTCATAAGAACATAGTATCTGAACTGTTGCACATGCTCTTTTGTAAATGACAGGAAGGGAGAAATATATGGAAACGTCCATGTAATAGAACAAGTTCAGGAGAATCAGCTCACTAAGAAATACATTTAAGTGCTTTGTGTCATAATTACTCCCAATTTCTTCCAATTAAAGGCAATTATTCACCACAGTTTACTTTCTGTATAATTCAAACTATAAGTAGATAAACATACCAACAACACTGGAACATATCAGTAGAACCAATAATATCAGGAAGTCTTTATTAATGGGAACATTACACGGAGCCATCAAATTCCTCAGATACTATTAAAATTGCATATTAGTAGTTTAGCCAGATCTACTAAACCCACACAGCAATTAGCCCTTTACTTTTTCCTAGCAGTGTGATCACAAAACACTGGAAGAAGAAAAGACTGCAATCATACCAAGGCAATGCAAGATGACTGAAGACAAAATGTTCAGCTATTCTTTGAAAATATAACAGTTGTTAATATTGTTTTAAAAACATTTTCTGGTTTTAGATTTGTAAATCACATCAACAAATGTATGATTCTATTGTGTCAAAGATGGAAACAAAATGCAGTAAGGTAATGCCTACATATACTCCCACAGTCCCACCTGGGAGATGATCCCTTTTTTGGCCCTGCAGTAAGTTATCCTGAGATTAATGATAAAATATTAGGTAAAATTAGCAAGAATTTTTCTTCAGTTTTACATAATCAAATTTTTAAATATTCTTAAAAAAATATTAACAGCTGTTTTTATTTCGTGCTTAATTCAGAAACAGGTTACAATTTTGCTTTTCATGGATCAAAGAAAAATGTACTGTTATAATACTATGATATACCTAAAATCTTTTCAAGTTACAGACTTGTTCCAAAGAGACCACACATTGCTTGGACACAGTATGTTTCACCAATTGGTAAGTTAGGCACTTGTTCTTTGACAACGTCTGGTTTAAGAAATAAACTGCCACCTTCTCCTTTTTCTACGTGACACCATGCAGTGATCACAGAAGTGCTTCCCAGATGAAAAAATCAGACTAGGGTTCACTCTATGAACACTGTAGTTTTGGTTGATGGGTGCAACAGTCACAAACATTAATTCAGTCTTTAACTCTGGGGAGGTTGTAAGCATAGCGCACCAACGGGAATCCTCGGCTCTGATAGAAACAGGCTCGCCCACAGGCCTGCACCTGGTCAGAACTGTCCGAGACAAAGGAGTCTTCCTCATCTGCATAATCAGAGTGGGCCGACTGTGTGCCACCGTCGGACCAATAGCCATCCGGTCTTTGGCAAGAGCCCACGGCCAATGCAGGGCAGCTGTGTGACTTTATTAAGTGTTTGCATGA